GGCAATCTACTTCCGTAGTGATACTGCCTTGGAAACCCAAGGAGGGGTCGCTATGAGTCGGGTCCGACTCGACAGCACATAACAACAACAACATACTTGTTGATGTAACCCTGTTTAGAAATTTAGTTTTCTTTGTTATGTCATTGAGGCCTTCTCAGTGTAGGATGTGCCCTAAACCTAATCACTTCTGAGTTATAAAAAGAGCAAACTAGACACAGATGCACACCAGATGCACGTACAAACTGGGGAAGACAGATGCTGTGGGAGGACTGCCAGGGAAATCAAGGAACTCCCAAAGCTACTGACAAAGAAGGAATGAACATGGCTGAGACCCTGCTTTGGATGTCTAGCCTCCAGAACTGTGGGAAAATATACTTCTGTTCTTTAAACCACCCACTTGTGGTACTTGTGTTACGGAAGCCCTAGGCAAATAAGACAGATGACCAAGGGTTTGTAATAGAGGAGCAGAGGGGAAAAATTCATGCAAGAAGATACAAGGATGTTTCACTGATGACAAGATTAAGTCAAGGGGGTCCATGCTCAGGGAATGCTCAAGAATGAGTCAGTCATGTGCAGGCACCTCTGGTCAGTCCCAATATGCTTCACCATGTACCCCAGCTTCATAACATGATTTCAGTGGAATGAAACCTGACACAGTCAATGTTATATAATGAATTCTGTGTGGAATCAGTGACAATCCCAGTCGATACAGGACCATTTGCATAGCCGTGGGCAGTGCTAGTTCATTGCACATGGCATAAACCAGCTAGTAGGCCCACAGGCCTGTGTTAGCATAAAACCCATGCTTGACATCAGACACCCAGGACCTATTCCAACCCCCTCATAGATGTGGACACTGAGGCCCACACTGGGGATGGTATTAACTCTCGAGGCAGGAAGCCTGCTGGAGGAAGGGCTGGTGATAGGACTAGGACCTTACTATTCAACCACCCTAGACTCTATAGATTTGAGGGAATTACTGCAACAGTACATACAAGGTGCTGCAGTGAAATGCTGGTAGGTAGAAGGAGCTTACCAAACTCTGGCTATTACTGCTTTAAACCCATTCCTGGTTTCCTTTGACTTCATCACATCTTCCAATTAAAAAGAAAAGGAGCTGCTCATGGCACTAGTTTCTCATATGACAAAATTATTGGATTTGGGTTAAAATTACATGCATATGTTTCTTCAAATTATAATTTCTCAATGTATTAAGTAACCTCAACAGATTGAGGACGGGGGAGACCTACACCTATAGGGAAGACATAATCCATTACATATAAGCTCATACCTTGCACAGAGTGACAATGCAGGGGACATTCTCCACACTTAGCCGGATGCAGTCATATGGGTCGTCAAACAGTTCAATGTCCTTTGTTCCCTCTTCATCCTCTATGACGCGAACTTTTGGTATCCTGGAAGCAGAAGCACAACTAAAATTCCCATTTACTAGGAGGAAGAAAGATAACTTGTTTTTCTTCAGAACTAAGAACAAGAGTTGGAATCTCTGTGGCTCACAAAAGAAAGCCACACTGTACCTTTATTTTATCATCTCCAGAACCATCATTCTTATCAAAAGTAAACCAGCAATGCTGCAGTGAGGAAAAATTATTCTATGCCAATCAGATACCCACATGAAAAAAAATTAATCTCAGTTCCTACCTCACACCATACACAAATCCATGCCAATGGACTACACATGTAAAGGTGACAATTGAAACAATAATGCTTAAAAGAAAGCTGAGAATACTTTCATGACCTTGGAGTAGACAAAGATTTCTTGAACAGGACACAAAGAGTGCTTACCATAAAGGGGGAAAAAAGGTAAACTCAATTTTATTAATATTACAGACTATATATGTTAAAAAAAAAATCATGATTTAGAAACTAAAAAGAATACCCCGAGTGGGGAAAAAAAAATATTTGCAAAAATGTATCACTGGAACCAGAGACATCAATTGGCAAGTGAGGACAACTACAAACAAAAAGAGGGAAAAGACTGCATAGTCACAGAATTTCTAAATGGTGAGGAAGTTAAGAAAGTTGAAAGATAGAATGGACTGTTCTAAACT